AATATAACAGTAACAACTAAGATCAAATCTTCTGATGTTTATGCTGTGGATATTTCTACTACCACCATAAAACTGTAAATAATTACAACCTTAAAATATATAAAACGATGTATAAAAATATTTGGAGGAATTGGGATAAATTCTTGGCTAGGTGACAACTGTGGTATCATTTGACTTCATGTATGTGTCAATATTTGTACTGAAAGTTATGAGGGCAGCAACCATAGTGAAATATGTGACTAGAAGTACACATGGTGAATAACTGAATAGGGTCAGACAATCCCACATTATGCTTATAATCAGCTATACCATTACATACACACTCATGAGACTGCTTAGGGTTAAAGTCATACATACAACACACCTTGCTATACTGACATGTTAACAATGGGTGGTGGTTGATCAAACTGAAACATTAGGACTTCAAGGGGGAATCACTCATACTGACATTTTGCCAAGGACAACAACCCCTAGTAATTGTATCAAAACTGTTATACGTCTGCACTCTGTGACTTTAGCTCCATAATTGCCATGGTCCTATGTTAAAGACTGGGAGTGACAACAGTGGTTCTGCTAAGGACATTAATATTTGTAGTTGTTTTACACAACATTTTGCCCAATATTTAACATAGGTATTTGACAAATATATTAAATTTCAACTCCCAGGTTAATAAAGCTGCTAATGAACTACAAAGAAACTGACAACATCACAGCTGTATGAATGTGACATGCTACCAAAGATATCGATAACTGATATTGGTTTGTTAGAATAAATATTTTACATGTAATATTCACCATTCTTACAAAAAGCAGTGATTTAATCTTTTTCTATTAGAAAGGATTGTTAAAAGTCTTTCCATTTTTGTCTATTTTCAAGCTTGCTCTGAAGGTCAGTGTTGTAAAATACTAAGGCCTGAGATAGCTTTTTGAAATGGCTGTCTTGATATCAAGTTACAGAGTCGATAACACAGTCAGTCTCTCTAACCATGTGTAATGAGGCAAGTTTGTAATAATCTAAAAAAAACTAAAAAAATAGACATAAACATCATTTTTAAGAAATGTTTGTTCAAACAAAGTGTGCTACACCATGGCAAGGTGTCATCAAAATACCTGATGTAGGTAACAATCGTTAACAGGTATGGGTCAGTACAGGTAGAGAGATGTGTTGCTCCAAGACACATTTGTCAAAAGCAGGTGCACAACAAGCTGCGGCTAATCCAATGTAACAGGTAGTTTGTCATTTGGGCATGTGTGGAGCTGCAAGCTGTGTACCTGACATTATGATAGACGACTGAGCAACTCCTGCACAAACACGACATCGGTCTCAGGCCACAGTCACTGCTGACATACTCAGAAGACATTGGCATGGGTTAAACACAAACACGACATCTGTCTCAGGCCACAGCCACTGCTGACATACACAGAAGACATTGGCATGGGTTAAACATCCTGTTTAGATATTATTGCACTTATTTTTGTACTAATCTGGACTAATGCAAGCTTTATAGTTCTAGCCAACCGAGGTGTCCCACTTTCACATGGACATCCCACTTATAAATAGTATACAGACTTGGTCAAGTCCTTGTTTTATCCCCTTAATGACAAGGCAGGGTAAATAGAGAATACTACACGAGGTCTCATTACATACGAATTATACGAAACTCGTGTCCTTCCTATGGTATCTGACCAAGCGAAAGCGAGGTCAGATAACATAGGAAGGTCCGAGTTTCGTATAATTCGTATGTAATGAGACCGAGTGTGGTATTTTATTTATTACCCACGTCTTACATGCATTAAACTGACAAAATAGCGTAGTTTTGTTAATATTTTGGTTTCAAACCGAAACCGGTTTCATAAAGAGGTTGCGGCAGAGTTTTGTACTGTAGTACAATATTTGCATGATGTCACACTGTAATGGCGTCACTGCCTTGGTAAATCACAATTCATGTCAATCGTACAGCCCTCCTACAGTAAACTACTCCGTAGCACCCCGTTTCTTGGTTTGCAGTTGCTACATTCGGCTAACATTACTGGTGGAAACATTGCGCTTACGCCGACGGATATAATGTCTCAGTTCGACCACAATTAAACAGCGACACACGGCATGATGACATTCCACAATGCATTTAAGTTGTAGAATGAATGAATTCACGTGTTTGTTATGAAAGAAAAAATAGTTACGTCATAATGTGACCTAATTGAGAGGTCATCGGTTATCCAATCAAATCGTTAGAATCTCAGGTCAAGTCGTTACGACACAGGTCAACGCGATACGACACTCGTGTGACGTACGAGATTAGTATGCAACTACCCATACGTTGACCGCGTGGGTAATAATATAAAGTACCACCTCTCTAAGTGTTTTGGTATGAAGGACTAAACCACTGACCTCCTGTTATCCAAACAGATGCTCTAACCACTGGACATGGAGGTAACCCATAAACTGGTAGCTGCTCAAGTAAATAAACTTTATAGGTAACCATAGTGTTATGATTATCTACTATGTCGTGCACCTATAGCACTGTCAAGCAACAGGAGCAGTTCAACATATACACCGGCCATCACATACCTATCACCCCTTGCAAAATATTGGACTCATTCTTGTTAATGGGGTCACAACACAGGTCAAGTGAGTTTCAGTACATAGACATAGATGAAGGAAAGAAAATACTTAAAATCTTCATTAAAAATGTATTGATTTTTCAAATTATTTCATGTAGTTTGTAAGTGTCTCTGGGAGGCATGTAATCACTGACAAGACCATATAGATGACATGTACATTATGAGAGATGGAACGTGTCCTGTGTGACTTTGCTTCAACCACTAGGCACTACCTGTGGAAGTAATGTACTGAGTGAGTGAGTGAGTGAGTGAGTTGAGTTTTATTCCAGCTATATGGCAGTGGTCTGTAAATAATCGAGTCTGGACCAGACAATCCAGTGATCAACAGCATGAGCATCGATCTGCGCGATTGGGAACAGATGACATGTGTCAACCAAGTCAGCGAGCCTGACCACCCGATGCCGTTAGTCGCCTCGTACGACAAGCATGGGTTACTGAAGGCCAATATTCTAACCCGGACCTTCAGTAATGTACTGGGCATTATGAGAACAAAAGGCAGTGGAGAACAGAGAGATCGAAATTTCACATTGACAAAATATAGGGTTAAAGCTGACATAGATGTTAAACAACAACAGACTCACAAAGTAGCAGGTTATAGGATTCGTTGAAATATGCAATGCTAATAAAACTATCATGCACATTAACTGGAGAAATAATTAATACTGTCTCAGAACTAGTTCAACAGGTCATTTCTAATTAACAACAGATCTAAAATGATCAAAGATATGATAGAAACTAGTCAGTTTTTCATAAGCTTTGTCTCTACCCTTGCCATTTCATGCCAACTTTTCTTTCCTGGCGCCACACCTTATAGCATGCAAGTTGTGTCCCCTGTCATAAAAACATGACATCCAATCAGATCACTGTTTTTATCTCGAATGGCATCATAGAGATGATTACCACTATCAACAATACAATACAACCATTTTTAGTTCAAAACCCTTGACTCTACAGCTGCCATTTCAATGAGTCTTACTTTTCATTTTCACCGATGCCATTAATTCGAGTGACAAAACAAAGATGATTATCACAGCAAGACAACCTGGTCAATTAGCAAAACAAAACAATTTGAGATTTCATCTGTGACAGACATACAAAATGTCAGTACAGTAAAGATGCTTATTACTGCCATATTTTACTCCTTCAACAACAGAGGCATACAGATGAGGCAAGACGACACAGTTACAGGAAACTCTCAGCAGGGAGTAGTCTGAAAAAAGCACTGTATCTCAGTCACGGAAACAAACAACCACTTGTTTAAATTAAAAAAAAACAGTGCAGTTTGTCTAATTGCTTTGGACCACCTTGAAAATATTTGTCTTAGCTTAATTTTTTAAATAATTCCATAGCAAGTCAAAAAATGATGGTTGTGGTAATTGCATCGAATGCATTTTCAGAACACAAATGTTGATTTTGAGAACACTCTCTGACTGGACAGGCAATGTGTATGATAGTCAACTATGAGGCATGAAAAGGACAGGGTTTAAACTAGATCTGCAGATATTGGTTAGTGGACACATCTGCCTCTGGAAGATGAAGTTTTTGGCAATAATGCAACAATCCAGAATATCTTCATGGCCTAGCAGACAAACTGTAGAGCGGTGTTAACACTGACTAACATGATACGTTGTAAAACCTTTGCTGTCTGGCCTGATTACTCCTCAATAACATGGTGACCCCAATTAATGAGTGAGTTTAGTTTTACGCTGCACACAGCAATATTCCAGCTATATGGCGACAGTCTGTAAATAAATTGAGTCTGGACCAGACAATCCAGTGATCAACAGCATGAGCATCTATCAACGTAAAGACATGTGGATATGATGACATGTGTCAACCAAGTCAGCGAGCCTGACCAAACGCCCCCGTCAGTCGCCTTTTACAACAAGTATGATCAATTCTAACCTGGATCTTCACAGGTCCCAATTTATGAACTTGAAAAATATTATTGGATGTCTGAAGATTAAAACAAATGCTGGTGACAGTTTACTTATGTATTACAACTGTCCTTTATAATCAAGGGGAACATGTATGTTTTCTCATGAAATTTCATCAAAAAGGTGCTGCCTTTAAATTGTTCCAAGTGTGTTGGAGAGTCAAGCTGATAGAAGAGCTGAAGAATCCGCAATTTAAACCAATCAATGGCCAATATTTAAAGAGAAAATGTAGAAAAATAGATCTCAGGAATCCTTCATTAAAAAGACATCAACAGTATCTGGCAACAATGTCATTGTGAAAACAGGTTTCAAATGTATTGCAAATCCTGCGACTACATGGTTCAAATCTATTTCTTATGTCTTTCAAGCTTTACAATCACTAGTTATGTTATACTACTCAAAGCTTTACAATCACTAGTTATGTTATACTACTCAAAGCTTTACAATCACTAGTTATGTTATACTATTCAAAAGATGTTAAGGAACACATGATTATTTCCATATGACAACAGTTAATATGTCCTGACATAACACATACAGTAACAACACTTTAAAAGTTTTAGTCCAAGATAATTGGACAATATTAACAAGTGAAATATCTCATTAAATTGCACTGGTCAGCAACATCACAGTCATATCTGAGCAACAATCCCTCAGATTTGAGCTACATACTGCAGTCAGTTTACTGCTGTCACCAACAATACAGCTGTATCCTAGCAACCAACAGTCAGACATGAGCCATATACTGCTGTCACCAGCAATACAGCTGTATCCTAGCAACCAACAGTTAGACTTGAGCCATATACTGGTGTCACCAACAATACAACTGTATCCTAGCAACCAACAGTCAGACTTGAACCATATACTGCTGTCAATGATAATATGTCTGTATCCTAGCAACCAACAGTCAGATTTGAGCCATATATTGCTGTGACCACAAGTACAGCTGTATCCCAGCAAATCACAGTCATACTTGAGCCATATACTACTGTCAATGACAATACAGCTGTATCCTAGCAACCGGCAGTCCGACAGAGCTTCATACTGCAGTTACCAATAGTACAGCTGTATCCTAAACCAACAGTCAGACTTCAGCCATATACTGCTGTCAATGACAATATAGCTGTATCCTAGCAACTATCAGTCAGACTTCAGCCATATACTGCTGTCACCAACTGTACATTTGTATCCTAGCAACCAGGAATCTGACATGAGCCCATGGGACTTTGTGTTATGCTCAAGCCACAAGGCATTATTTTCACTAACACAATGGTCAATAATACCATCCAGACATATGAAAATCATAAAAATACCTTTGTGATGAAGAAAATCAATTGCCTGTTTTCACAAGGCATTAAAATATCATAGAGATTTGGCCTCAAAATAACAGGTAGCTATGTAAATGCCGTTGTGAGAACAACTGCTGGATGTAGATGGAATGAAATGAACTGTGAGTTGAGGATATTCCTGCATGTGTGTCGCAGGTGATTGGGGGGCTGTAGGTCGGAGGGGCGTGGTCAACTGCGGTGTCATCTTCTGACGTGATTCACAGTCACATAGGGTGCAATGCCGTACAGAAACTGAAACACAGACCATCATCAAGCTAGAGATTTATAACACTGACTACGTATAGTCACCAAAAGGAACCAAAAGAAACTGTGCATATAATCATGATAATGTTATCATATGCACACTTATCTTTTGTGCTCAGGGTAATTAACCACATAGGACCGACAACGTATAACTTCTGGCTGGGTTGGGGACAGTGAAGATTTGACATTTATTTATTTTGGGAGGGTGTATTTTAGAGACAGGATAGGGTTTTTTTCAACTAATGCTTTAAAACATATGAAAATATCAGGGAAAATAAAAGCTGGACAGTTAGAAAAAGATTACATTTTATTCCGAACATGTGTCCATCACATGATTTATCTGGGTGGTAAATGAAAAGGACAACTTATTTCTTTGAAAAAAATCAATATTTTTTTGCATAAAATGTGCCAGCCTCCCTTTGACTCTCATCTGACTGAGAAAATCAAATGTTTTTTCCCATACTAATCAGCCAGCACTGAGACCTGGGAACCGCTACACAGCTATTGCAGTAATCAGTGAAATCTTTCAGCTGTGGCAGCCAAACTATCTGCCAATAAAACCAGTGAAACATTTTTACAGTACTGCAGATGTATTGGGAAATTCAAATGTCTCCATAGAAGCAGAAATGTGAAGCAGTAGCCTAATATACAAAGGGAGATAACTACAGTCATCAATCCTGCTGAATACAGCAGCCTGAACACATACTGAATTGCACAAGGTATTGTGGATGATACATCTCTTATAAGCACATAACATTTCATTAATTCATTGATTAGTAAAGACGGAAGTACTGATGCATGATCCACATGAGATCACATGATTTCACCAGAAGCTCTTGCACTCATAATTCTATGAAAGTTGAAAACACAAACAGATTTGAGGCAAAACGCATCACAGACAGAAATGCATTACAAATTCTATCACAATAAAAGTTTCCAGCTCAAAGCTCTCTTGAAGTCACTCACTACAAAGAGACTGATGTTTATGTACAATGATCAGATAATATAGCCCCTGACCCTGGGGGTCATGTTCACAAGGATCAGACTATCTTCATATTACTCACCTTAATCTTGGGGTGTTTCTTCAAGTACAGATAGCGAGTATGAGTTCTGGAAGATAACAACACTGCCAGCATGAAACCAACTACACATACAGTGGTTCACAATTAGTCTTACTAAAGTTGACAATGAGACTTACAGTGGTTCACAATTAGTGCTACTAAAGTTGACAATGAGACTTACAGTGGTTCACAATTAGTCTTACTAAAGTTGACAATGAGACTTACAGTGGTTCACAATTAGTCTTACTAAAGTTGACAATGAGACTTACAGTGGTTCACAATTAGTCTTACTAAAGTTGACAATGAGACTTACAGTGGTTCACAATTAGTCTTACTAAAGTTGACAATGAGACTTACAGTGGTTCACTATTAGTCTTACTAAAGTTGACAATGAGACTTACTCACAATTAGTCTTACTAAAGTTGACAATGAGACTTACAGTGGTTCACAATTAGTCTTACTAAAGTTGACAATGAGACTTACAGTGGTTCACAATTAGTCTTACTAAAGTTGACAATGAGACTTACAGTGGTTCACAATTAGTCTTACTAAAGTTGACAATGAGACTTACAGTGGTTCACAATTAGTCTTACTAAAGTTGACAATGAGACTTACAGTGGTTCACAATTAGTCTTACTAAAGTTGACAATGAGACTTACAGCAGTTCACAATTAGTCTTACTAAAGTTGACAATGAGACTTACAGTGGTTCACAATTAGTCTTACTAAAGTTGACAATCAAACTGACTGACTTTTGAATCAAAGTATTCCAGAAAGATATCGGTAACAGTTTTAAGAAAGAAGGATTGTTTGGAATAAATACATTAACAACTTGTCTGTAAAGTCATACAACAGTTGTCCCTACAGAATCTACAGTGATGGAGCTGTTATATACACTGAATTATATCACAGTAGAATATTTGAATATTTACAGTTTCTAATTCTTGATATAAGCATGGTCTGTATGTTACTGATATTTTCTTGATGTGGAAATACTTACACAAAGAGAAAGGAGAGATAGGTTCCAAAACCAGCCAGTACGTGCCACCACGCATGTAGCTCAGTCACTGGCCCAGCTACACCTAGGACATTCTTCCTGGCATACCTGCAATGAGCAAAAGACACCTAGAACATTCTCATGGCCCAAGTCTGCTCAATGTCAACGAGCCATCAAGGGGTCACGTTATTAAAAGCAAAAAAGCAGACTATATGTAACAAAATCATAGTCTTTTGAAACATTTACTCAAATATTTTGTCTGTTGTGCTAGGTACCATCAGTAAACATGCTGCGCTGCTGATGTACACAACAAGGAAGACCAGTGATGTAGTTAAGCCAAACATTACTATTGGTCTTACTAATACCAAGATAAACTATTTGTTACTATAATTAAAAAAAACATGCATCAGTATTCATGCTATATGTACTTTTAATACAGGCTACAAACACATTGTAATGAGAGCAAAGGGGAGACAACTGCGCCCTCAGTTGCTCAGTACTGTATGTTAAAATTCTGATAAGGTACAGGCACAAGAGCTAAATAAACCATAGAACAGATGCAAATACAAGTTCCATGAACTACACCCTGCGGATTAACTCCCCACTGACATTCGAAGCAGATTGCACGATTTCATAAACTGTACAGTAGGGTTGGGTATTGCAGAGAATTTTCATATTGCAATGCAAAAGCATGTATTGCGATATGTATTGCAATATATTGCGTAAGTAAAAACTACTTATAATCGAGGTAATGCTTGATTAATAGAGCAAATACACAGCAAAATCACTATGCTTCATTAAGCTTTAATAACAACTTTTATTCATGATTAAAAATAAAAATGTGAATAATATTTGGCACAAATGAAAGAAGGAAATATCCGAAGATTTCCGAGTGTTACGAAGTTTTCCGAATGCAAGTCAAAATACCGGTTTTCGATCAGCGCATCGCAATACGTATCGTTTTCATGTCTGAACCGGTAAATACCGGTAAACCGGTTATATTGCGCAGCCCTACTGTACAGTCTATGCTGGTAAGTGTTTACTGTTTAAGAGATGTCATGCTGCAAAGTGTTATGAAGTACAAGTTTTGATGCCTATATAGACTGTATACTTTACAGTGCTTTATCTGCACTGAAATGTTCCCAAATTGACCAAAGTATCGACTACCTAGGGATGGATGTATTTTCCTGTGCTCCAAGACAGTGATTTACAATTCATAATCTGAACCAGACAATTCAGTGATCTGTCCAGAATCCAGAACTGAGTTGTGATTACTTTGGAACTGATGCCATTGGTTGACAGCATTCTGAAAGTTATCACACTTATTCAATTCATATCAATTTTCATTTAAGACACCAGTACATTTGACCAGATTGGGGTGCTGAGAGGTCATAATGTACTGGTATATAGCTTGTATAGCCCAGCAATCCTGCTTGTAGATAGCCATTGAATTGTCCAGTACCATGTATGCAGGGGGCACATATCAGATAAATGTCGTAGTGTGTGGGGTACATATTAACATACAAAAATATATTGAATCTCGTCATCCCAAGAGTTCTGTCACAACATGCAGCCCCTGACTGTTACCTTAAATGTCCACAGAAAGTGTTGTCCACATTCCACAACAGGAAGCCAATGCCATAGGACACCGTAGACGTCAGGAACAGCGTCAGGGAATGTTCATACTTCCTGAAACACACATGGATATGATGACATGTTGCTCTTGTGCATGTACACTGAAATTTCGTTAACTCTGACTCAATTACAAATTGTAATTGTTTTTATAACATGGCATGATGTGTATGATCACTGTCCTGTATATAATGAGACACATTTCCTTGACACAATAATGACGTCATGAGAAAGTAAGGAATTACAATTCTTACACTGCTTTCAGCAATATTTCATCCTCACAGCAGGAGACACCAGCAGTGGACTGAACACCTTGCACCCATGTAGGCATTAAAACATGTGACAAGAGAATGCTTGAACTACTAGTTAGATAATGTCGGGGTATTAAACTCTGTACTTACAACATGGTTCTGACGGCACATGCAAGGATGGAGAATACCATCAACCCGTAAGCAACCTGAAATAGTCATAGAAACTAAAATAGTCTTTGGGAAAATAGTCTTTCAAATTGCAATTATCAGTGAGATTTGGAAAGTCCTTCTGAATGCATATCCATTTAACATCTTCACAGTGATGGAACTGTTATACAACACTACAATGCTGAAACACTTATACAACCCTAAAGTGATGGAACTGTTATACAACACTACAATGCTGAAACAGTTATACAACCCTAAAGTGATGGAACTCTTATACAACACTACAATGCTGAAACAGTTATACAACCCTAAAGTGATGGAACTGTTATACAACACTACAATGCTGAAACAGTTATACAACCCTAAAGTGATGGAACTCTTATACAACACTACAATGCTGAAACAGTTATACAACCCTAAAGTGATGGAACTCTTATACAACACTACAATGCTGAAACAGTTACACAACCCTAAAGTGATCGAACTGTACAAGTAGTACAATGCTGAAACAGTTATACAACCCTAAAGTGATGGAACTGTTATACAAGTAGTACAATGTTGAAACAGTTATACAACCCTAAAGTGATGGAACTGTTATACAAGTACAGTAGAACATGGTTATAGCGAACACGGATATAGCGTACAAACGGATATAGCGAACAAATTTAAAAGTCCCGTCAACAGTCCTTTATAATATCATTAAAATTATACGTGAATAACGAACTCCTGAGTAGCGAATTAACGGCTATAGCGAACTGATTTACTACCCCAAGACCCAATTAACGACGTGATTAGCGAACTCACTCAGTGTCAGCTCAGCCACTTAGCAGTACAGTATACATCAATCTTGTTGGCGGTGAATCAACATTGATTGATGGTCATTAATTAATTAACAAAACAAACATATCGTGTTTAACCCATTCAACAACCGTTTTCGTTGACGAGGACGGTATCCATTGCCGTAGTATGATTGGCTGCCTTAGGTCACGTGTCTGATTTTGACCAATCACGATCCTTATAGCAGACTGTGGCGAAAAAGCGTCATTAGAAACCAATCTTTATCCAATAAAATCACTTTTTACAACTGTGAAAATACTCTCGGCGAGGGTACAGTGATATTGTTGATGTTCCAGAGCTGTCGAACCATTACCAGACACCACACGATTCGCCTCGCATGTAATTCATACGAAGCTTCGAAAACGGAAGTATTTCCCGTTGTTGTGTCATGTTAACGAACGGAAAGCCTGATTACATAAAAATGAAAATATAAAAGAAAAAGGCACGGGCATGTTATGGAGTTCGTTATATCCGTGTTCTACTGTAGTACAATGCTGAAACAGTTATACAACCCTAAAGTGATGGAACTGTTATACAAGTAGTACAATGTTGAAACAGTTGTACAACCCTGAAGTGACTGAATGGATACACAATCTCTAAATACCTTAAAAGTTCCATGATGAAAGTAAGTACAAGGCAACATAAACACCAAAAATACAAATAGTTGTTACTTGGGGAATAAATGCCCAGTAGACAAGTATAATAACACATACCCACATACACACTCACCTCATGGAACACAGGATTCTTGTTGACCAGGTACACCTACAAGGGAAGAAAACGTCAAGTTTAAATATTTTTGTTTACATGTTCAAAATACAAATTTGACTAAAATATACGTGACAAAGATAATAAAAACAGTTCATTGCAATTCATTATTAGCATTGTTCATGAGTTTAAGGTATATTCAAATAAATACCAAAGTTATTCTCTGACCAAAAGAAACGCTTTCATTATCAAGATATTAACATCGAATTTAGAATCTTTCCCTCAACCCTAATCTGATTAAGGACCCAGTTCTATGACAAATAGGACAGAAGTAATGAATACACACTGCCATTTAGAAAGTGGTCAAATGTAACGTATGTTATATTTTGGATTACACTTTCTTAGTAAAGTACAGATTCTAGCACTTTTGTTGGGTTTAGTCCCATCCGACAGCCGCAGTGGCTGAGCGAGTTAGGCGGCTGACTTTGTGTGCTGGCGATTGGGTGCCTGACTCTGAGGGTTCGAATCCCGGATGGGATTCAACTCAGCAAAAGTACTAGAATCTGTACTTTATAAACAAAGTGTAATCCCAAATATATCATACATTAGGACAGATGTAAGATTCAAAGATTTACTATTTTTTCAAAAGAAAAAGAAATAGTTACTAAATCAATAAACCATGATAAAAGTTTGGATAACACTGCTCTCTCTAAACCTGAGTATCCTCTGACATAAGGCACTGAATAATTGACATATTGGTATTTGTATACCAGATAAACATTTAATATCACCCAGTGTATTGCACTTCAGTATCTGCAGTATCTCTTAACAGGGCTGCTCAACCTGTGTACTAAATGTGGTTATTTTCAAATATACCTTTCATCTTTTTTCTTTCACAGCAAGAAAAATCAATAATCTGTTGAGCGCTAAACTTATCAGCACACACGAAAATGCATTCTCGGTTCAATCAATGTCCAGTTAACTTGTACCAGCTGTGTACGCTGACATGATTCAAAACTTTCTGTACAGGATGTCGAGACATCTATGTGGTATGCGGGATACCTAGACAGTGGGATTGCCTGCCCAGACAGTCTGGATGCTTAGAAAGTGGGGTTGCCTAGACAGTGGGGTTGCCTGCCCAGACAGTCTGGATGCTTAGAAAGTGGGGTTGCCTAGACAGTGGGGTTGCCTGCCCAGACAGTCTGGATGCTTAGAAAGTGGGGTTGCCTAGACAGTGGGGTTGCCTGCCCAGACAGTCTGAATACTTAGAAAGTGGAGTTGCCTAGACAGTGGGGTTGCCCAGACAGTCTGGATGCTTAGAAAGTGGGGTTGCCTAGACAGTCTGGATGCTTAGAAAGTGGGGTTGCCTAGACAGTGGGGTTGCCTGCCCAGACAGTCTGGATGCTAGACAGTGGGGTTGAACAGTGGGGTTGCCCAGACAGTCTGGATGCTTAGAAAGTGGGGTTGCCTAGACAGTGGGGTTGCCTGCCCAGACAGTCTGGATGCTTAGAAAGTGGGGTTGCCTAGACAGTGGGGTTGCCTGCCCAGACAGTCTGGATGCTTAGAAAGTGGGGTTGCCTAGACAGTGGGGTTGCCTAGACAGTCTGGATGCTTAGAAAGTGGGGTTGACAGTCTGGATGCTTAGAAAGTGGGGTTTGCCTCTGACAGTAGAAAGGGGTTGCCTGCCCAGACAGTCTGGATGCTTAGAAAGTGGGGTTGCCTAGACAGTGGGGTTGCCTGCCCAGACAGTCTGGATGCTTAGAAAGTGGGGTTGCCTAGACAGTGGGGTTGCCTGCCCAGACAGTCTGGATGCTTAGAAAGTGGGGTTGCCTAGACAGTGGGGTTGCCTGCCCAGACAGTCTGGATGCTTAGAAAGTGGGGTTGCCTAGACAGACAGTCTGGGATGCCTGCCCAGACAGTCTGGATGCTTAGAAAGTGGGGTTGCCTAGACAGTGGGGTTGCCCAGACAGTCTGGATGCTTAGAAAGTGGATGCTTAGACAGTGGGAGTGGGGTTGCCCTGCCAGTGGGGTTGCCTGCCCAGACAGTCTGGATGCTTAGAAAGTGGGGTTGCCTAGACAGTGGGGTTGCCTGCCCAGACAGTCTGGATGCTTAGAAAGTGGGGTTGCCTAGACAGTGGGGTTGCCTGCCCAGACAGTCTGGATGCTTAGAAAGTGGGGTTGCCTAGACAGTGGGGTTGCCTGCCCAGACAGTCTGGATGCTTAGAAAGTGGGGCCTGCCTAGACAGTGGGGTTGCCTGCCCAGACAGTCTGGATGCTTAGAAAGTGGGGTTGCCTAGACAGTGGGGTTGCCTGCCCAGACAGTCTGGATGCTTAGAAAGTGGGGTTGCCTAGACAGTGGGGTTGCCTGCCCAGACAGTCTGGATGCTTAGAAAGTGGGGTTGCCTAGACAGTGGGGTTGCCTGCCCAGACAGTCTGGATGCTTAGAAAGTGGGGATGCCTAGACAGTGGGGTTGCCTAGACAGTGGGGTTGCCTGCCCAGACAGTCTGGATGCTTAGAAAGTGGGGTTGCCTAGACAGTGGGGGCTGCCTGCCCAGACAGTCTGGATGCTTAGAAAGTGGGGTTGCCTAGACAGTGGGGTTGCCTGCCCAGACAGTCTGGATGCTTAGAAAGTGGGGTTGCCTAGACAGTGGGGTTGTTGCCCAGACAGTCCAGGATGCTTAGAAAGTGGGGTGCCTAGAAAGTGGGGTTTGCCTGCCCAGACAGTCTGGATGCTTAGAAAGTGGGGTTGCCTAGACAGTGGGGTTGCCTGCCCAGACAGTCTGGATGCTTAGAAAGTGGGGTTGCCTAGACAGTGGGGTTGCCTGCCCAGACAGTCTGGATGCTTAGAAAGTGGGGTTGCCTAGACAGTGGGGGGGGTTGCCTGCCCAGACAGTCTGGATGCTTAGAAAGACAGGGGTTGCCTGCCTATGCTTAGACAGTGGGGTTGCCTGACTGGGGAGTTGCCCCAGACAGTCTGGATGCTTAGAAAGTGGGGTTGCCTAGTGACAGTGGGGTTGCCTGCCCAGACAGTCTGGATGCTTAGAAAGTGGGGTTGCCTAGACAGTGGGGTTGCCTGCCCAGACAGTCTGGATGCTTAGAAAGTGGGGTTGCCTAGACAGTGGGGTTGCCTGCCCAGACAGTCTGGATGCCTTAGAAAGTGGGGATGCCTAGACAGTGGGTTGCCTTGTCTGGATGCTGGGGGGCCTTGCCCAGACAGTCTGTTCTGCTTAGACAGTGGATGCTTAGAAAGTGGGGGGGTTGCCTAGACAGTGGGGTTTGCCCAGACAGTCTGGATGCTTAGAAAGTGGGGTTGCCTAGACAGTGGGGTTGCCTGCCCAGACAGTCTGGATGCTTAGACAGTGGGGTTGCCTAGACAGTGGGGTTGCCCTAGACATGCTTAGAAAGTGGGGTTGCCTAGACAGTGGGGTTGCCTGCCCAGACAGTCTGGATGCAGTAGTGGGGGATGCCTAGACAGTGGGGGCTGCCTGCCCAGACAGTCTGAATGCTTAGAAAGTGGGGTTGCCTAGACAGTGGGGTTGCTTGCCCAGACAGTCTGGATGCTTAGAAAGAGGGGTTGCCTAGACAGTGGGGTTGCCTGCCTAGACAGTGGTGCTGCCTAGACAGTGGGGATGAATAGGTAGTGGGTTTGCCTAGACAGTGGGTGGGGTTGCCTAGACAGTGTTGCTTGCCCAGACAGTCTGGATGCTTAGAAAGAGGGGTTGCCTAGACAGTGGGGTTGCCTGCCTAGACAGTGGTGCTGCCTAGACAGTGGGGATGCACAGTGGAGTCGCCTAGAGACAGTGGGGTTGCCTAGAAAGTCTGGATGCCTACACAGTGAGATTGCCTAGCCAGTAGGATTGCCTAGAAAGTGGAGTTGCCTAGACAGTAGAGATAAGATACCTAAACAGTAGGGATGCCTAGACAGTAGGGATGCCTAGACAGTGGGGATGCCTAGACAGTAGGGATGCCTAGACAGTAGAGATGCCTAGACAGTGGAGTTGCCTAGACAGTAGAGATTAGATACCTAAACAGTAGGGATGCCTAGACAGCAGAGATTAGATACCTAAACAGTAGGGATGCCTAGACAGTAGGGATGCCTAGACAGTGGGGTTGCCTAGACAGTAGGGATGCCTAGACAGTAGGGATGCCTAGACAGTGGAGTTGCCTAGACAGTAGGGATGCCTAGACAGTAGGGATGCCTAGACAGTGGAGTTGCCTAGACAGTGGGGATACCTAGACAGTAGGGATCCCTAGATAGTAGGGATGCCTAGACAGTGAGATTGCCTAGCCAGTAGGATTGCCTAGAAAGTGGAGTTGCCTAGACAGTAGAGATAAGATACCTAAACAGTAGGGATGCCTAGACAGTAGGGATGCCTAGACAGTGGGGATGCCTAGACAGTAGGGATGCCTAGACAGTAGGGATGCCTAGACAGTGGAGTTGCCTAGACAGTAGAGATTAGATACCTAAACAGTAGGGATGCCTAGACAGTAGAGATTAGATACCTAAACAGTAGGGATGCCTAGACAGTAGGGATGCCTAGACAGTGGAGTTGCCCAGACAGTTGGGATGCCTAAACAGTAGGGATGCCTAGACAGTAGGGATGCCTAGACAGTTGGGATGCCTAGACAGTAGGATGGAGTTGGGATGCCTAGACAGTAGGGATGCCTAGACTAGACAGTAGTAGGGGGATGCCTAGACAGTAGGGATGCCTAGACAGTGGGGATGCCTAGACAGTAGGGATGCCTAGACAGTGGGGTTGTCGAGACAGTGGGGTTGCCCAGACAGTAGGGATGCCTAGACAGTAGGGATGCCTAGACAGTTTGGATGCCTAGACAGTAGGGATGCCTAGACAGTAGGGATGCCTAGAAAGTATGGATGCCTAGACAGTGGGGTTGCCTAGACAGAAGGGATGCCTAGACAGTAGGGATGCCTAGACAGTAGGGATGCCTAGACAGTAGGGATGCCTAGACAGTAGGGATGCCTAGACAGTAGGGATGCCTAGACAGTAGGGATGCCTAGACAGTAGGGATGCCTAGACAGTAGGGTTGCCTAGAC